GCTCCCCCAGGTCTCTGTGGGTTCCTGCAGGTCCCTGTGGTGCTCCTGGCTCCCCCAGGTCTCTGTGGGTTCCTGCAGGTCCCTGTGGTGCTCCTGGCTCCCCCAGGTCTCTGTGGGTTCCTGCAGGGCCCTGTGGTGCTCCTGGCTCCCTCCAGGGCTGAGCTGTCCTTGCAGAGTGGCCCGGTGCCCCATGAGCTGCTGTGCCCGGTGCCAAGGCGGGAGGCCCTGGCAGGGACAGGAGGGGTGGCACTGACGGAGCCGGGGCACAGGCAGGAGCCTGGGCAGGGGGGGATCACAGGGGTGTAGCTGCCCCTCGCCTGCTCCGGGAGATCAGAGGGATCAGAGGGAAAGGCTGTGTTATCTAAGGAGGGCTGAGCCTGCTGCCCTTAAACACGGGAGCGCCTGGAAGTGTGGCTGTGCCCCAGAATGGCAGCGGGAGAGCAGGGCTGGCAGGGCTGGCAGGGCTGGGGGCTGTGCCCGCCTGCCCCTGCAGCCTCTGAGCCCCCCAGACACAGCCACAGCCACCCTTGGGGCTGTGGGACCCCCAAAACCTGGGGTCTGGCAGAGGCACTGGGCCTGGTGACAGCTGGCACCTCCTGGGACACTTTCCTTGCTGGCACCTCCTGGGACACTTCTCTTGCTGGCACCTTCCGTGGCAAAGCTCTGTTGTAAATGCAGTCGAACCCAATGGGAAGGAATGACAATGTTTGACTCAATTCAGAAGGCTGAATGATTTCTTTATTATAACTATGCTAAAACACATTAATATACTATATAAAAAGGAAGATACTAAAACTACATACTACTTTCTCTAACACAACTCGTGCCCCTCTCTGAGTCCAGCCCCAGGTGGGTTGGATTGGATTGGGTTGGATTGGATTGGGTTGGATTGGCCACCAGGCTCAAACAATCCTCACCAGAATCCAACCAAGCATCACCCCAGGTAAACAATTCTCCAAACACATTCCACATGGGAAAAACAAGGAGCAGAAATAGAAATTGTTTTCTCTTTCTTTTCTCTCTGTGCACCTCTATGAAAAATCCTGAGAGGGAGAGAGAAATGTGCTTGCCACAGAGCTCCGTGTGCGACCTCTCCACAAGGGGACACGTCCAAACCCTCACTTGGGGCAGCCCTTGGGACCCCAGGCTGCCAGCTCACGTTGCTGCTGCCCGTGCCCTTCCCAGAGGAGAGGGACGGCCAGGCCTGCTGGCAGGATGCAGCTGCTTGTCCTTCCTGCCCTGCTTTGCCCATGGATGGCACCCCGGGCTCCTCCTCTTCCTCTCCTCGCAGCCAGCTCACTGACCAGTAACTACAACAGGGGAAACTGAGGCACGGGGGCAGCCATGTGCTTTGCAAACCGAGATCCAGGCGCTCACATCCTGAGGCTGGGCTGTGCCACCAGGTCCTGTGGGGCTGGGGACGGTGCCAGGCACTGTGCCCCTCTTCTGGGGCAGGCTGGGGGCCCTGTGCCAGGCAGCTGGCAGCCCGTGATGGACGGCTGCAGGGCGCTTTTCTGTGCAGTATAAATCATGTTCTTGGAATACTCCAAACCAGCCTGAACTTTAATTTGATCCCGAGCAGGGGGCTGGTGGTGCCCAGCGCTCCTTCAGGAAATGGGGTTTGGTGTTGTCTGTCTGCACCCTTGGGGTGCCAGGTCTGTCTGTCTGTCTGTCCTCCTGGCCCAAGAGGAGCAGGAGAGAGCAGTGGGAGCTGCGAGGGTGAAAAGGTGATTTTTGGGAAGCCATTCCTGCCTGGGGAATGGGTTAATGGGGTATCCCTGCTTTGCAGTGGTCGCAGCTCTTCCCACGGCTGCTCCTGCCAGGGAGGTCAGCAATGAGACCTGTCACCCTTCAGCAATGCTGGAAATGTCCCCAGCCTCTCCGATGACACCGAGTAGACCCAGTGGGAGCTGGTTTTTGGCTGGCTCCCTTCCTCTGGGCACCCTTTGGGACCCACTCATCTCACCCATGGGGGATTTTCGGGATGCTGAAGTGGGGACAACGCTTGACCCTGGGGCAAACCCTTCTTCTTCCCTTTCCGTGACCAAAATCTTCTGAATATTGAATTAATCACAAGAGTTTGGTCTTCTGCAGCATCCAGGGAAGTGCCCAGAATTCCTGCAGGATTTTAGGATGGAGCTGGGTCCAGCCCCAGGCAGTTCCAAAGGATCAAGGGGTGCACAATGGGGTCCCCACTGTGGCTCCTGCCGGGGGTGGCAGGGAAGCTGCTGGGGCTGGGTGGCACCGTGGGCACCTGTGGCTCTCGTGGGTGGGATGGCACGGTCCCACTGCACATCCCAGGAGCCTGTGGGATTTCCAAAGGCCTGCCTCTAATCCCTGGGGGGGCTGCTGGGGATTTACATCCGATCAGAGCAGCGATTTAAAGGCTGCCAGCTGTTGGATCTGCAGGCAGAAAATTGGGCTGTTTCCAGTCACTCCTGAAAGACACCTTCACCCCAAAACTGGGCGGTTTGGGGTGGGGTTTGCACTCAGTGGAGTTGGAGCCTGCTGGAAAAGTCTTTTTTGCACTTCTGAGGTGGGGTTTGGACCTTGTAGACCTCCTGGAGCTGTGCCAGTGGCTGATGTTCCTCTTCAGAGGGCTGGGCTGTCGGGACCCATCCCTGACTGTCCCTTCTGTTTGGCTGACCCTAGGGATGGGCCAGGATTGGGATGGGACCTTCCCCCACCCTGTTCACCCTCAAACCCATCATTAATCTCGTGCTGGAGGTCCAGGAGGGGGCTGGGTCTGACCTTCCCATGGGAAGGAAGAGGAACTCACCATGAACCCCCAGGCAGCAAATTCAGTTGGATTTGGCTGAGCAGAGCCTGGACTTGTGTTGGATGAGCTTTCACTGACCTTGGCTGACCTTGGATGGTGCTCTGAGGGGAAAACAGAGTTTGTGATTCAGCCCAAACCCTCCAGGGCTGAGGCAGCCAGAGCAGGAGGTGGGATGGGGGCTGTGGGACCAAATCCATCCCAGGACTGGGAGTGGGATCCCTCCCATGCACACATTTCCTCTTACAAAAGAAGAATGTTTGCTTGAAACATCTCAATTTCTGAGGAAAAGTGGGGTTGGGTGTGTTGTTAGCAGCACTCAGATGGAGGATTTGAGGTGCTGTGGTTCCTGAGGCTTTTTAAAGCTCATTTTTGAGCATTGCAATGACCATCTGCAGCACTAATGGGGACGGAGAGGCATCCAAACAACCTTGAGGAGGGAACGCTTCCAAATGAAACCTCCACTTCAAAGAAATGTCAAAATGCAGATCCCTCCTTGCAGCGCAGAATCGCCTCGTTTTCCAAATGTCAGCATTTCCCAGGGAACAGCAGGGCCCTTCCAGCCCAGCCGGAGCTGGGAGCTGCCTTAGCACCCGGGCGAGACTTTCCTGCCCCCGAGTGCTCCACGAGGTGCAAAATCTTCCTTGGCAGGATCCCGTTCCCAGAGGCTCCCTGCCCGCAGGCACCTGGGGCTCCAGCAGCCCACGCTGGGGCAGAGGCAGGCCTGGAGCTCCGGGTTATTTTTATTGCTGTGTTTATTGCCTCTTAAATGAACCTCCCCGAGGGCTGGTGCCTTTCAGAGGCGGGCAAGGGACCTTGAGCAGCCGGGGCTGTTGGGCAAGGTGTGGAAGGTGGAAATTCCCTCTGGGCACCCGGCTTGGCTGGTGGCCCCAAACATCCTTCTCACCCCCCCCTGAACACGCCTCGGTGCTGTTTTCTCCGCTGGGAATCTCCCTCCAGGGCTGACCCCGGTCCAGGATCAGGGAGCAAACACCTGGAAGATTTCCTGCACACCCAGAGCTGCAGGGGCTCGGGGGCAGGATGGAGCAGCAGGACTCCAGCTAATGGCCGGATGTCCCAAGACCTTTCAGAGTTATTAATATTTCCAGCTAATAAATGGCCCATGACACCAGAGTTATTAATTAATGAGCTGAAGTGCCAAAGGTTTGGCCTGTGACCAGTTAATAGCTGGCACTCCTTGAGACCTGGCTGTAGTTCACTTGGAGCGGTGTTGGTGTCCTGGATCAGGTCCTGCCCGTCCTGGGGGTTGTTCCCCTGCTTTCCTAAAAGAACCACTTCCAACCGGGATCTGATTCCCCTGAAAATGCTGTGGGAAAGGGATCCCTGTGCCCGCAGTGATCGTCCCAGCCCGAGCTCCTCTGAGTCTTGTCCTAATCACCCGCTGTTTAATCGCTTTGCTGGGGATTTGGGGGATTTTGGGGACGGATGCAGCCTCTGGAGAGGTGCCTGGGATGGATCTGCTGTGGGGCTGGCGCTGGGAATGGTGTGGAGGCTCCCACTGACTCATTCCTGGGTGGGGCTGGGGGCAGAGAGAGCCCCAGGGTGAGCCCAGCCCTGCGGGGAGCGAATGCCAGTGTGGACGGGGCACCTCGGCCTTGCCAGGCTGCTGCTCCAGGAAAGTTCAGCCCCGGGCAGGGCGGGAGCTTGAACTTTGGAGCACCTGGGTGTGCGTGAGCAGCTGGAGGAGGCACCTCCACCCTGGGCAAATGGCATTGCCAGAGGATTACTCATGGACAACACGGCACAGAGGATCCTGGAAGTCACCGAGGAGCAGGGGCTGAGGTGTTCCAGCTCACAGCCAGGATTTCTCAGAGCCCCCAAGCCCCGTCCTGCTCGCTGGGCTCCTCTGCAGGGGACAGCACTCCCTGTGCCACTGTCCCTCTGCAGGATTTGCTGTCCTGGCAGCCAGGAGTTCTCACTGGCCATGGGTAATTAACTTATTTTTGTGCTTGCAAGTGAGTGATGGGGATTAACACCCTCCCTGCCCTGATGGAGGACAAGACGGGCTTGACTTTCCCGCTGTCCCCTCTGTCCCTGCCAAGTCCCTCTGGAGGCGCCTCGTTGGCTTCAGCTGGAGGAGGTTTTGGGTTTGGGCTTTGGATGGAGCCCTCGAACATCAATAATAATGACTCATAAATCGCTGCTTGCACCACCTGCTTGTCACGTTTCCACCCACAAAGAGCCACGTCAGGGGTTTGGAGGAGCTGAGCTGGCACGGGCTGTTTGTCACATCTGGACGGCATCACGGGATGCGGGTCTGGCTCAGCCGCGGAGCTCGGCTCGTTCCTGCCCGGGGCGGGTGGGAAAAGCCCCAAAATTCCTTCTGCACGGGCTCCTCCTGAGGTCTGCAGGGCTTCTGGGAGCCTGTTTGCAGCAGGAGGGCTCGGCAGCGGGGTCTGAGGTGTCCCAGATGTGTGGGGATGGAGCAGCTGCTGTGTCCTTCTCCGAATGGTTTCAAAGGCATCACGCACCTCGTGGCCTTAAATTTTGGGAGATGCCACCCAGGGCTGCCACCCTGATTTGTCCCTGTGCCCACAGCCCAAGCCTGAGAACGCCATCACCATCGCCGTGTCCTCGCGGGCGCTGTTCCGCATGGAGGAGGAGCAGAAGATCTACACGGAGCAGGGCGTGGAGGCCTACGTGAAATATCAGCTGGACCACGAGAACGAGCCCTTCCTCCCCGGGGCCGCCTTCCCCTTCGTCAAGGTGAGCGGCCACAGGAATTTTGGGAATTCCCCAGGAATTTTGGGGAGAGGACAGAGCTCATGTGGGGCCAGGATGGACACAAGCCACCGGGCAAACACAGGGTGGGCAAACCTCCCAGCAAGTGACGTGCTGCTTCCAGGACTGGATTTTCCATCTTGAGCCCAAGAATTGAAGAAATCATCTCCTCGGATCACATTTAATGTTTTCCTTTAGAAATTTTTTTTTTTTTTTTTTTGTAATTATGCGTATTATTACAATTTATTTATTCTTGTAAATTGGCTGAGTTTAGCCTTGCTCCCGAGTTGGCCAATTTCTAATTTTGACATGTTGAAATGAGACATTTCAAACTTGAAAAAATATTTTCTAACCCCTGTAGCAGTTAGTGCAGTTTTGGGTGCTGGAGCCCATTCCCAGTAAATAGATTAATCAGCTCTGTGGGGCAAGACTTGTTTCTGATTGCTTAAAAAACACTTATCTGTAACTTGGAGCTAATTTATCCTCATTTAATAACTCCAAACCTTTTGTGTTTGAAAACAG